CAACCATTTTTGCATAATTAATCTATAACATGAGGGCATTTGTGTAATTTCAAGCTACTCCACCCAAGTTCTTCCGCTTTCCCCCACCTCCGCGGGGCTACATCTAATAATTTTGGAAGTTGGAACTGCAACAAGCTGCAGGGACCCACCAACGACAACGGTGAGCCGGTGAGGGTGATAAATTGGGTCCCACCCGCTTGGTTTTCTTCCTTCTGCTTATGCCAAACAAACGGTAAACGATCATCTTTACTGGCTACAAGGCTTCTGATTGGGTTATTGTTGATCACTTGAAAGACAAACCGCTGAGGACGACATTAATTCAACTGACGGATAGGAATCATCATTACGTAACTTCTGTAGGGCAGGGTACATGATTCATGTACGACATGAATTACGGTATTATAGTTCTGCAATAATATCCTACTAACGTGCGCGCTGCGCGTAATGGGCCTAATGGCTTATGTCATTCCCCGTGCTTGTGCCTACGCTCATAGTACACGTAACCCACTTTGGAGCGTCCCCAATCTTATCCTCATAACACAAATAAAATAGAGAAGAGGACTAAAGGTAATTCAGTAATTTCCGGAGTTATGGAGTGAAGGGTAAGTATTTCAAAAGTTAAACAATATTGCACCCCACCTCAGAATTTAAATTCCATTGCAGATTTACAATCATTCAAAATTTTAATTATTCGGTGAAGTCCCGAACTGAACAATAAAATCCCCAAGATTTATTGCATTTTTTAGCAGCTGGCACTGGCAGTACAGTGCAGTAAAGGATAGGACGGGGTCTAATAATTTCGAAAAGGTGAAAAGAGGGGCGAAAGCGTCATTTTCAGAAAGAGATTGGTGGAGCTGCAATTATACGAGGTACCCGGGGTAGCTTGGTCAGGTGCTAGGTCTGCTACTTTGCCCGACAAAGACGGGCTCGAAAATATTTTTAAATTCAGAAAAATCAGGAGAGCGAATAAAAAATTCTTTGCTGAAATTTCCTACTCTCTTCCCATTGGACGGGCCCTTGACCTAGAGACACGTGGGTCCCGTCCATTCGTGTTTTTACACGCCAGAAAAAACCAGCAATCGATTGGACGGTGGGCCCCGCACCCGGCTGCACGAGGAGACCGAATCTTCGGCCGCACTGACGCGAGTGTGCTGTCCTGCCGACGCGTGTCCAGGAGCGGGGCTGCGGGGACCACATTTTGCGAACAAAAGTCCAACCAACCTCACCAGTCGCCTACCGCTTTACGTTAGCTGGCACGTGGGATCGACGCTATTGTGTATTTCGGTGGTCCCCACCCTCCTCCTCTGCCTGCCAAACCCCTCAGTTAGTGCGCTCGCTACGTGGCAGCTTCTCCGCCCTTCGAACCCTAACCAGATAAAAAGAGACTTTTCCAGAGAGAGAGAGAGAGATAATGATCGGTTCATTTCACGGTTCGGCTCACACCAATTCTGCCAAACCGGTTGGGTCGTTATACAATGGAGAATTGGAGAATTTAATTTTTGTTTATTCTTTTTAGTATGGTTAAAAATGTTAATAAGGGATGGATGGTCTTGATTGTTCTGGAATGGGATCTTATAACTTCTATGGTAGTAGAAAAGAGCTACTTTTGAGCATTATTGAGGGGTGACATTCAATATAATCAGGGTTTTCTGTAGCGTTGAATTAAGGTTAAGGCAGGGATTGGATGCTAGAAAGTGTCATGGCCCATGGACACCCCACGTGTTGGCTAGTGAGCGTGTATGACATGTCACCGTGACTTTTGGCGACAATCGAACGGTCGGATTTGCACAACAAACGGATAGTTTTAGCTATTTTACAAGGGTGTCGGTGGCCAAAGGGAAGGTGTAGGTGGTGGGGTGTTAACCATAATTTTGTAGGAAAAAAAATGTACCATAAAGAGAAGGGGGGAAAAATGGGTGAGGATGTGGGGAAGAGGACTAAGTGGCCAACTAGTAGCCTAGTACTTGGGGTTTCATTAGTGGTTATTGAGGGTCTTGAGAAAAAACCAAACTCTGATTGCGTACTTGGAGGGGCTTTCTAGAGAAGAAAATAGGTCATGCACAAAACAACACATTTTTCTTTCTAATTAATAGATGGGTCCCTTTGAGAAACCCCTTTTTTCCTTCCTATGGCCATCTCTCTCTCTCTCTCTCTCTCTCTCTCTCTCTAATGGGTAGTAGACTACTAGGAGAATTTTTGTAGATAGTAAAACTCGTGCAGTAGGTATATATTAAAAGGATGTGTAAATGAATCTAACCATCATTTCAGGCTTTCTATTTGATGGGCCACTTCTTGGGTTAAGGACGGGCAAAAGTGAAGTAAGCGATTGCTAACTGTTCTCAGTACTCCAATGATCAACCATTGGACCCACTAGAGGTTCTTGAGTTATCCTTCACTTTCTTCTTTTTTTTTTTTTTGAATTCAAACTTTTGTGTGGCCCATTGGCACATAATTATGTTGACTACCATGCAAAAGCGAGAGTTTGATCCAGTGGTTGGTACTTCGTGCAGTGGTGCAACTCTTTTTGCTTGTGGAATATGGCTAAGTCATTGTTTGGAAAGATGGTTTGTTGCTTTTAACTTCTATGCCAAAGCTCAGATAATGAATTAATGATCCTTTTGGTGGAATGCGGTGAAGAGGGAGAAGAAAAGCAGATGGGCTCAATAGAGAGATTAATGGATTATTAACAACTTAGCTTATTGGAGTTGGAGTCTTGGACTAGTCAATTAGTAAGATATCTATATATATATATATATATTTTTTACAGTCTTAAGGGTGTCTAATCATTGATTAGAGAATAGTAACAACAGATGATTTAGCTAAAAGGTTCCCTGATACAATGCATCTCCATCCAATTCAGATGATGACCGGGGCTAATCAGAAGCCATATAACAGTGGTCTAGTCTTGTCAAAATTGATGCATGCCTATGACACAAGGGTCTTAGAGTGGTGACTAATTATTTCTTTAATTCCAAGAAAAGACCCAATTGATCCCTTAATATGGAGTTTTCTTTTAATTACAGTTAATGGAGGGTTAGGTTTCTTCATTTCTACTAAAAAAGGTTTACAAATTTATCATGGGTGTTGCTATAAATCAAAGGAATTGTTATTACTGTACCAGATATCATCCATCAATGTGTTTTTGGGCCCTACCGATTGAATGGTTGAGATTATTACCTAGCCCTAAAGAATTGAACCCCAACTAATAAATACACACACATGATAGTCAAAGGCATTATGTATTATATGTATGGGTAGAGCAGAAGATATCTTTGCATCCATCATGGACACCTAAAATAAAATTTGTAGTCTTGTCTTCACACTATAATTACAAGAGAGACTTATTTCACTCTTTCGATCAACTTTGTTAATCTCCCTTTTTGACGGCACATATGTAACTCGTGGCTTTGAATTTCTACCCTACTTGCAATTCACTGCAACTCTATGTTATTATTATAAAATATAATTTTCCCTTTCAATGTAGATGAAATAAAAACTGTGTCAGAATGGGATATTGTGCTTTTAACTGTATTTATTCTTCCCTATCTGTAGTCTTTTTCTTGTGAAAAGAAATTGGAACGTACACAGTGAAGAAAGGCACCAACTAGTAAGTAGTCTGGATAACAAGATAGAGATAGCTAGTATTATATATAATGAAATGAAACAATATTGAGGCAAACAAGATGGACCCTAATGCAAAAATAAAATATAACATTACCAGTAAAAGATTATAGATGACCTCTGACTAAAATGTGTACTAGAAAATCCTCCCTGGTACAGATTGCTAGGTTGATGAATTCACTGGTACGTACAAAATCTAGTCTCATGTTATGATCTTGAGTCTTAGTTCATCGTTTGTGCAAATGGTGAAATGACAGTATATTTTCAGGCAAATTTTGGTCATCTGATTGGGTTGCTTGCTTTTGGGCCATGCATGACATCTGTTGAGTAGGACACCGCCATATTGGGTCAACCTCTTCAGTCTCATCTAATTCATTTGATATATATATATATATATATATATATATATATATATATATATATATGTTACATATCTGAAGGCAATGAGATCTGTTGAGTAGGGACCATATTGGGTCAACCTCTTCAGTCTCATCGAATTCATCTGATGATACATATCATCTATGTTACATAAGTAAATTATTCTGTTTAAATGTCATTTTCCATATGTAATGGCTTTTTACTCAACTTGGTGTACTCTTTCACAAGTCATCACTACCCGGTTCTCTCTTTCTCTCTCTCCTCTCTTTATTATCCTTCTTTTTTTCTTTGCTTTTTGAAGCTGTTATTAAGGTGGTGGTTGGATTGGTTCCTTAGCATTTGAATTGCTTTATCTTCGAACTCTAGCAACCAGCCACAAAAAATAACAACTAAAATAAAAAACAAGAAAAATTAAGAAAGATATTTAATTCCAATAGAAGGACCTCCCTCTCTCTCTTCTCATCTTTTCTTTTATGAAATTTTTGGCCGGAAGAAGTAGACGTTTCCTCGTTTTTCAGCTGTTTCTTTCTTCTGACACACATTGGAAGAGTTTTTTTTTAACCCCTCCCTCTCTCTCTCTCTCTCTCTCTCTCTCGATCTCTGAAAGGCTCTTTGTTCTTATCAAACGTGCCTGCATCTAATAATTTGAAAAGGTGGGTCAAATCAAATCTGAAGTTCTCTTGTTTTGATCCACTCCCATGTACCCTAACACAATGCTATAAGTGAAAGAGGGGGCCTGTGAAGGATAATAACCCCTAGGCATCCCTCTCATCAATATAGGTAGCAAGAACACACACAAACACACAAACAATTTATTATTTTTATACTTAATTTTCTGCCTCAAGAAAGCTAGTAAAATTTGTTTGGATAATGAATAAAGAAAGGATGGGTATCTTTTCCTCAGGCTTTTTAATTCCGTCTCTCTCTCTCTCCCCTCTTCATTTCTTTTCCTTTTCAGTGGGAACGCTGCAAAATATTCATTCTGACAAGGGCAATCCCTCTACACACAAGTGAAGACTGGAGAGAGTGATACATACATAGAGAGAGAGAGAGAGAGAGAGGTCGGTGCCTTCTGATGTATCCCCTTGCTGTATTTTAGCCATAATTGTATGGTCATGAGCTCTGTCTCTGAAAGATCTTTGATGGGTTTTAGGTCACTATAAGCAAAATTCTCTGTAGATGATGAAGCACGTGCACTCAGGTTTCCATCACACAAGGTACTAATAGTATCAACTAATATTATTATAATTCTCTCCCTCTCTCCCTCTCTCTCTCTATCTTGATGCTGTATATATAAAGGGCATGACTATAATCTCTGCAAACTTTTCATCATCATCTTCTTCTTTAGTCCATGTTGCTGTTGGAGAGAAGGGAGAAAAAGAAGAGATGGGTCCTTTTGAGACCTTTCAATGATCTGAATTATGGGTTAATTTCCACTGGAATTCTGAGTTACTGAATTCAGGTTCCAGTAATAAGCCTTTGCTTAATTTCTTTCAGATTTTTACAGATTTTTTATCAGTTTCTTCTCCTCTTGCTTGCTTCCAGGTGTTCTCTACGGTCGTCAAGATGATCGAACGGAGTTGGCGTTGGATTACCCCCAAGAATTAAGCCTGTATGTTAAGCCACAAGATGGGCTGAATCACTTACCCAGATTGAATTTTAGCAGAAAAAAAAGATGATATTTTACATGGAGAGATAGATAGAAATATCGATTGAATGATAATTATATATAGAGTGAAGAAGAGAAAGAGACAGAGTGTGTAAGAGTTGTGAGAATTTGGTTGGTTGTCAAGCCTAACGTAGTAGTAGTCTCTTTTCAGTGATATAAGATAATTATCAAATCGATGGCGACGTACTTTCACGGAACTTCGGAAATCCAAGCTGACGGGTTGCAGACGCTTTATCTGATGAACCCTGGCTATGTCGGATACACTGACACACAGCCGCCGTCTAACATGGTCTTTCTCAATTCCACCGGAAATACTCTAAATCCGGCAAGCCTGGTAAACGCGCCCCAGCAGAATCAACACTTAGTCGGAATCCCACTGCAGGCAGCGGCTGTGCCCCCCGGGTCGGCTGCGGCAGCAGCGCAAGATCCTAATCGTCCGTCGGTGCACAACCAGCAGGAGATGTCCGCTGTCCATGGGTTCGTCCCTCGCGTTCACTACAATCTATGGACGTCCACACAGGCCCACCACCACCACCACCACCAAATTTCAACATCCGCGGCAGCAGCTGCGGCGGTGAATAATTCTATCGGTGTTGACGTTTCATCACCACTTGGCCTCCGGCGGTCTGTCGTGCCACTGGCTCAGCAGGGACTGTCTCTCAGCCTTTCTTCACAGCAGCCGACATATGGGTCCTACCGGCAAGAATCTGACCTTCCGGCATCAGCTCCAGCTCCGGTGATATCTCCGACCAGCAACAACGAGATGCGAATATCGGGCGGTTCTTCTTCATCAGCATCTGCAGTCTCCAGTGGAATTTCTGGTATGCAGAGTGTTATATTGGGTTCCAAGTACCTGAAGGCTGCACAACAGCTCCTCGATGAAGTTGTTAATGTTGGGAAGGGAATCAAGGCTGAATCAGCCAAGGGAGTTAAAGGGTCTAGCAAAATAAGCAGAGACCCAAATGCTTCCACCGGAGAAGCTTCGACTGGAGGCGAAAACAGCACGAAGCAAGCAGCCGAGCTCACAACAGCAGAAAGACAAGAGCTTCAGATGAAGAAGGCCAAGCTTATTAACATGCTTGATGAGGTACGAATATTTCATTTACTGATGTTCTAACTAAAAGCAGTCTTTAGATTCCAATTTCGTTTGGCCTTTGAAAGCGAAACCCATCAATTGAAGCTACATGGGTTGATTTTGGAAGCGATGTTCTTTATAGAAAATCGTCGGTTAACCCGTGGAACATCAGTTAGGTCTCCATCAACTTGAGTCAGAATAGATCTCTTGAAGAAGACCATCGAAAAAGAAAAAAAAAAAAAAGAAAAAATCAGGTTAAAGTTAGAGTGATGCCTGTCAGCTTTCAATAGAAGCGTTTTGCTTTGAAATTTTCGAATTTTCAATGAAGATTAGGTTAGAGCTTTGAACGCCTCTTTATCATGGAATTTTAATTTTAGAAAAGAAGTGATTTTTTTATTTAATTATTTTCCTCTACAATATTCAATAAAGCGTAAATGGGATCTGTCTGGTTTATAATTTCTTCTTCTGTAGAAAATTCAATAATGAACCAGGGAGGACCAATTGGGTTTTAATGGGTTTATTAATTGATAACGTTTACTCATAATTCTGCCCAAGAGCCAAGATTCTCTTTCTTATCTATTATAAAGCTTGAATTTCGACATGGTAATGAGTAACTACAAGAGTTTTTAACTTTCAGTAGTCCTTGTTCATTTGTGTGGATGTCGCTGGTTCATCAAAAGACTAAGCTTGAAGTTTGATTGCTCTTTCTGATTAGTTTGGTTAAAGTACGAAAAGAGTTTTTGTTTTCCAAAACAAGGCTTTTCCTCCAAAGGGACCACCTAAATTGAATCTCCATTATGAATTTGAAGGTGGAGCAAAGGTACAGACAGTACCATCACCAGATGCAGATTGTAGTGTCTGCATTTGAACAAGCGGCAGGCTTCGGTTCAGCAAAAACATACACGGCTCTTGCTTTGCAGACGATTTCAAAGCAATTCCGATGCTTGAAGGATGCAATTTCAGGGCAAATCCGAGCAACAAGCAAGAGCCTAGGTGAAGAGGACTGCTTTGGAGGGAAGACTGAAGGGTCGAGACTCAGGTTTGTTGATCAACAACTTCGACAACAACGGGCACTCCAACAACTGGGAATGATCCAGCACAATGCTTGGAGACCTCAGAGAGGATTGCCCGAGAGATCTGTTTCTGTTCTTCGTGCTTGGCTCTTCGAACACTTCCTCCACCCGTTAGTACTCTTCGGTTTTCACATTTCACTGTTGACAAAAGTCATTTCGATCAGTTATTGAATGATTCTACTTTTACTGTTGCAGCTATCCTAAGGATTCTGACAAACACATGCTTGCAAAACAAACAGGCCTTACTAGGAGCCAGGTAACTGTTGCATTCACAACTTTTTCTTAATTACTCTCAACTGGATTTAGGCAATAATTCCGAAAAAGTGCAGGTTTCCAACTGGTTCATAAATGCTCGAGTTCGGCTGTGGAAGCCAATGGTTGAAGAAATGTATTTGGAGGAAATCAAGGAACAAGAACAAAATGGGTCGGAGGAAAAAACTAGCAGGAGTGAACTCAACGAGGATTCAGGATCAAAATCCACTGCTCCACACGAGAACAGCCCTGCTAGAACGGACCAAGGAAAGAATTTCAGTTCCAAGCAAGATAACTCCACCAACCCAAATGCTGTACCTACTGCAATTTCAAATTCATCAACTACTGCTATCATGGGAGGAATCATGCGATCCCAAACTGGTTTCTCCCTCATTGGATCATCGGACATGGATGGGCTAATACAAGGAAGTCCCAAGAAACCCTGCAGCACGGAGATGCAGAATTCCCCAAGTAGCATTTCAGTCATGGACATGGACGTCAAACCTGGTGATTCAAACAGAGATCTCTTTGCGAAATTTCAGAATGGTAGACAAAGCAGAGATGGTTACTCGTTAATAACAGGCACAACGAACAATGGAGAAGCATTTGACACATATTCAATTGGGGAGCTTGGTAGGTTCGACCCCGAGCAATTCACACCAAGGTTCTCTGGCAATGGTGTTTCCCTCACTCTTGGCCTTCCCCACTGTGAAAACCTCTCTCTATCAGGAACCCAACAGACTTTCCTCTCCAACCAGAACATTCAACTGGGAAGGAGACTCGAGATGGGCGGTGGTGAACCCAATGATTTCTGTGGGCTGAGTACTCCTTCTCCCCACTCCTCGGCTGCATACGAGAACATCAACATTCAGAACAGAAAGAGGTTTGCAGCTCAGTTATTGCCGGATTATGTGGCTTGATGGGTTCACATCTCCTCCACCCTTCTCCGGTCTCTCCTTTTACTGCCAAAACAAGCTCAGTTGATGAGTGCTTCAAAGGTTGCAGGTGAGCTAGCTAGCTTAGAGGATTCATTGCTGAACAGGAGAAAGAAAACATATAGAAGTCATTTATATCTCGGGCTCACACTATCATATCTCATGCCTTCCCCTCCTTTGTGAGGAAGAGAGGAGAGCCTGACAAGCCATAGTGTAAAGAAAGAAAGAAAACTTACCTAGCTAGTATAGGTTTATACTTGGGGAGAATTATTGGTGTTTCTTGAAAGCTTACAAGTTCAGATTATCAAGTCGGGGAATGTATATTATTTTTATACATTTTGGCAGATAGATAGATGAATAGAAACCATTTATATTCAAGTTAGTTGTTTCAATATGCAAATATATAATAATATCATGATCTGTATAATTTACTTATAATAATGTGTGTAATTTGTTATCCATCACATTTAGAGATTAATTGTGGGACCAAGGATATGTAAGTTTTGTATATATTCTTCATGCATGAAGTTTGCAAGGAATGCCAATCAAGATTATTTGATATCTTCTAAAGAACTTGGGTAAGGAATGCATGTAAAGCCACTCAGTCATTCTAATATGATGAAATATCTATATTGACAATAACCAACCATCTAATAGAATTGCCTCAAGTATGTATGAGTTTTTATGATGCAAAATGTAGGCTATTACTCAATTGTGTGGTACCAACTATATGTGGAATCTTGGTAAGGGTGGATAGAGTTCACTTTGGCTCCTTTCCAAGAGGATGAAATCATCCTTTACACAGTGGATATTTAAATAAGGTTAATGGTGTTCTAATGAAAAACCCATTTTTAATAAGTAGGTTCAAGGTTGCTTTCTTTAAGCATTTGTTGAACAAGTGCTTCTTCAAAAAATCTGGGATGGTCCAATCCCTTAAAAAGTATTATAATGTCCAAACTGCCCCTACAAATGGAGAAAACCCTTGTCTTCTCCATTCACCAGTTTGAATAGGGCAGCGGTGGCAATATACTAAGGGCGACCAGCGACGACTTTGAGAGCGAAAGTCGAGGGCTTGGAGAGCGAAAGAACGCATAAAGCGATTAAGATATCGACGACATCAGCAATGGCGTCCTAAAAAGAGGCACCCAAAGACTTCCACAACCCGATAGATCTCGTCCCCAGCTTCTTTGGCAGCACTAGATGCAAGTGAGACCAAAGATCCCAACCAGATGCTCCATTTTATTAAAAACAAGTATCGAGAGAGACCAGCTAGAGTTGAGATGATAATGGCGATGAAAAAACCGAAGAGCACATGGTAAAGCTTGTCCAGGGTAAACCAGTGGTCTCTATTTTCCATCTTTGTAGTAGCAAAGACCTCACAGAGTTCAATAATTAATTACGGGGTTGAGGAATGATAACTTATTACGAATGTTGTATCAAAACAAGGGGATGTTTTTGCCTTTTCAAACATGTATAGTAAGCAAAATTGGAGAGTTTGATCATTGCTATGGCCTTTATGTTGATCTTATGGTTCCACTTCAAAAATCTACTCTCCATCTATCTTTTACTCTTGTGTTTCTCTTCTCTCTTCCTTGGAGGTACCATCATCAACAAGATTAGAGGTTGAAGCTCTGGCGAAATGGGAAAAGAACTTATCTTTCGTTGTTCTCTATTCTTGGTCACTTGCTTTATTCTCTGAATCAACCCCATTAGGCCACTGGCAACATCTTGAGAGTCGAAACTCTCTCTACTAGATCAATAAGCAAAAAATATTGTCATTTATGATAAAATAAACACTTGTGGGGATAGTAGTTCACCAAATATCCTCACCCTAATAAGTGCTTAAAAGACCCAATAAGTGATTTGGCAAATGAATCACCAAACAGCCTTAAATGATTGTTAAAATAAGCACTTACAATAAGCAGCGACAAGTGTTTATTTTAACAACCACTTAACCAGACAGCCTAAAAGGAGTTGATTTTTTTTTTTAACATAATACAATGTTTTTATGTGACCCAAAACAATCATGCACAAGACAAAACAACTAAGTATTTGTAATAAATAACCCAATAGAAATAAAATTAATGAAATTCAAGAAAAGACAAAAACAAATAGTAGGTTCAACCTTATTTCTTAAGTCCATGTGACAGAGATAAATTGTTTTTCATTATGGAAAAAGACGTGAAATACTACATGGTACATTGTGGTTTGCAACAAAAACTTATTGAAGCTCACAGCAGCCACCCACATGATAAAACCACAAAGTATTTTAAACGAGGCCATTTGACCCCACTAAAATTTAAAAGAAAAAAAAAAACATAAACCATATGTATTATTTTAGCCCATTTTTCCATAGTGACCCTAATAAGAATAAAAGAAAATATATAAGAGGGTGGGATCAATTTGGACAAAAATGTAATTTGAATAATCACTTTTTCCTCATTGAAATCCCACTCATTAAGTCTTATATTTAAGATATTAATTTCCATTAACATTTATTGAATCATTTTCTTGACTAGAATACCCTTATTTTTGAATTTAGTCTCTCTCTAATTACGAGGGCACAAATTTAACTTGAATTACTACATTGTCTCTCATTAAGTGTTTTATTTAGAGTATTAACTCTCATTCTTTCATTGAATCTTACATTAATTAGTCATATTAAAGAAAAATAAGCATGACAAAGAATAATTGGTATTATTGATGATAGAAATAAAATACAAATTTAAAAACAACCCAAAAATGAAGTTTTTCTGTTTGGTGGAAAGTCAACAATTCAACCTTTTGGGTCAAATGTACCAATCATTGATGCCATAATAATAATAATAATAATAATAGTTAAAAATATAAAAACATACAAAATTATAAAAAAATACAGAAAATGTAAAAACATCTAGACACATCTCTAATATCATATATTCATCATATTAAATAAAAATTTGTGACAAATAAAAATAATTTTTATAAACATATCAATATAAAAAAAATCATAGAAAACTTTAGAAACATATTATTTACTATTAAAATCGTATACACTTACTAGGTATAGAAGTGCCATGTGTGACTAATTCTACCGCTACTATTTAGAAATTAGCTAACTTTACCCTTATGTTTATATATTATCCTAAAGTACCTTTAAGTTCTTTTACATTTGTCTAAAACCTTCCCTACTGTTAATTTTCTGTCACACTTTGTCACATGCGACAGCACATGATTGATATATTCTTGAACAATTTCTAAAATACCCTTTGCTGGCTTTTGCAGTGATTTTTGGGAGGAAGTCTTCCTCCCCGGTCACCTCTCGTTCCACCCATCTCCCCGGTCTTTTTATCGGAGTCTAACTCTGTTAGCGAAGACAACCCACAATAATATCACCACAATCAATGTTGCCAATTCCCCACATGCAATCTCGAATATAACCCTAGTTGATAACCTTATGAGACATTCACATTCTTCTTATGGAGTGTCAAGAGGTTACTGTGCTCAGCATGGTTTTTAAAACCAAACTGGTCAGGGGTTTGATTACCAGTTCGAGCGGTCCGACCATTTGAGCCGAATGGCCAGCCCATTCTGACAAAAAAAAAATTAAAAAAATTGAAAAACGGTCAAAACCATTCAAACGGTTTGGATGGTTCGAACGATTAACCGACCGGTTCAATAGTTTGTTGACCAAAATCAACGATTTTGGGGAAAAAAGCAGGTTTGGGGAAAAATGGAACCGGTTAGGTAACCGGTTCCCGGTTTTTCCGGTCTGGTTTTTTCAGAGTACGCTCGAGGATCTAATAGCTGCGAATGCATCCAACTTGGTACCTGTTTCAACCTAAAGCTCCATGAATAAACGCTTGTGGTATGAGAAGAATTTCGACTAGAAGAGCTTATACCCACAAACACCTTTTCGTCCTTCACATTTCAGCCAAGTGGATTGGATAAGAGTTCAACGCATTAGATGGAACTTGCATCATAATCGATTATGAAGCCATCGATGTCGATCCCAACATGGTTACCATCGGAATCGGCAAATTTGGTGTCTATGAAGTGTCGAATTCAACAGCGAAAAGTCTAGTGCCCATCGTGCCCAAGCCCAACCCCTATCGAGGAGCCAATGAAAATATGATGGATGTCCTCGAATCCAAATAAAGCTTCAAGATAATGCCAGCCACTATATTCATGTCGGGTCGCTTGTCAGGATCCACCTAGACGCAATCTATAGTAATGCGTCATGCATGAATGGAAAGGCATGTCATATGCCCATGCTCAAATAAAAGAGTTAGCATCACATTCTTCAAGGTTCAGTTGGATACTAGAGTGAACATATCACGAATTTGAGATTCAAGACAAATTTTAAATTTCCCTTATATAATTTGTATTTAACTTCAAGCCAAATTTTAAACTTTATTTGGATCTTTGTAGGAATAGGGATGGCAATTTTCACCTGACCTAACGTCCGGTATTTGCTTCAATGAGGCATATTTTTTTCGTTGAAAAATGGGTTTTGGCTTTATTAATCGAGGATATGATGGGTTTTGGGATTTTACAACCTGTATAGATACGAATAAGGTATGGGCTTTAGCTAAACCTTACTCTACCCAATTCGTGCATTAAAATTACTAAAATACCCCTAATATTTATATTTATTAAAATACCCAACCCTTCCAAACCCTAGTGCTATGCTCATAGATTTCTCTCTTCGTTTCTTTCCATTTTACTTTTGAGAACATAATTGGATTGGAAGTTTCCTAATCAGGCTGAGTCGTTGAACACGAAGAATGTGATCCAAGGCAAAACAAAAGGGATAATGATTAATGAGATGTTGCTCTCTTTCCATAAATTCCATTACTTTTCATAAAATCAAATATAAAACAGAATATTGGCTTTTACTCTACGGGGATTAAAAAAGTAACAAATTATTGAAAAAATCCAACATAGAGACTACAATTTTCAAACTATTAAACTATGTTACACTATTATAAAAAAAGTCAAATTTTCAAAAAACAAAGAGCTAATTGATTAATTTACGTAAATTAATAAGTCTATTAATAATTTAATAGCAGAATAATATATTACAAAAACACAATAGAAAACAAGCACCACCAAGAACACAAAGGACTTACATAGTTCAACCTTATATGTCTATGGGCACCTATTCTTCACTATGAAAGTAAATGAAAAACAATACATGTGCCTTGTGGCTTACAAACCTAAATCAACCCTTGACCCTTCTGCATTTATTTTCCTTTTCCTCTTTCAATTTAAAGAACAAAACAAGAGGAAAAAAAACACTTTTAGACTAAGAGTACATTCTTTCTCTTGACTTCTCTTTTTTTTTTTTTCCTTTCCAACAAGAAAAAGAATAAAATTTCTTTCACTCTTCTAAATTATATATACAAAAGAAACCTTTTATATGTAAACCCACCTCAACCTAGAGGGGCCACACCAACCATTAGAATAAAACATAATCTAATAGTTAAAAAATAAGACACAATCCCAACAATCTCCACCTTAATTTATTTTTCAACCACCTTGGAGTTCTTCCGCTTGTGCCTCCACCTATTTGCAAATACCGAAAACATCTATTGGCTTTCAAAATCACCACCAGCTACACATCACCTATGTATGTATGTATGTATGTATGCATGCATGTAATAAAAATTATTTATTTTATTCTAAACTCGTGAACTAAGATTCACTAGGTTCGAACTTGACTCAATTAACAAATAAACATATATATCAGATTCGAACTTGACTCGAAGTTTAATTTAAACCAAGCTGAGCCGAATTTGAATAACTAGATTAGTGGTGATTTTGGCTCGTGGTCACCCCTAGCTAGCACTACGGTTATAGAGGTGATTTTGGCTGGGCCCTGGCTTTCTGGGCCTTCTCGGGCGAATTAGGAATGATCACCCTAGTTAAAATTTCAGGGCTGACAATAGGTTTTTATTTTATGTTTTTTGAGGGGTGGGGGTGGGGTTGGAAGGGGGTAAATGGGCTACAAATCAATAGTTCAATACCGTATGGGTGGATGTGGTGAGTTCTGATCTGCTCATAAGTATTGACCTCGGGTGTCGAATATTCCGGTTTGGATAGGACCCATATACCCTCTTATATCTATTCGCTATTCTACAGGGTAACCTTCTTAACCGGGTCCGGATATGGATTGGATTCGTATATGGTCTTTATATGAACTTACTTGACCCACTTATTACATGGGTCAAACCGTCAAAGTTCGTACCTCAAGAGTCTCAGACGACCAGACGGCCAGACCAGACCCTGAGAACCGGGGCGTGTGCGTTGGGCGTGTATGTGGCTGCTGATGGTCAGAATGGTTGCTTCACTCGCGGGTGAGTCACCCGCCGTGTGTGACTTGGCTAAATTTATAAAATATGGGCCTAATCAGATTCCACATTATTTAGACTTGTTACAAGACACGTGGCAAACAAGAGAAAAAGGAATTCTAGACATGATCCTCAAGCCTAACAGTTCGATATGCCACGTGGCACCTATTCGCCACGCTGTGCCATAGGTGACTCACCCGGAGCTGACGTTCTTTATTTTCCCCTAAGAAACGAGATCCCAATCACCGCTATAAATAACAGATTTCTTCTAACTGCCAAGTACCAAGAAATTTCAGTTCCGAGAGACAGAGCAGGCGACAGAGCGAGAAATGGAAGGAGTCGAGAAGTGGAGTGATTCTGTGGAAAATCTCCTCGATGAAGGAGACATTGACGGAGCGATTTCTCTACTCGAATCAGTGATTTTGAAGACCCAAATTGGGAGTTCTTCGCCCTCTTCGAATCTGCAATTGGCCACGGCTCTCAGCGACTTGGCCAAACTATACTCGTCAAAGGGTTTCTCCTTGAAAGCTGACGAGATTCAAACAAAGGCTTTTCTAATCAAGCAAAGAGCTCAAGTGATTCATTCGGCAGGGTTAGGGCTTCTTTCTTCTTTTCCGTCTTCTACTTTTACTTCTTGTTGGTTTTTGACGTTATTTAGTATTCCAGGGATTCTAGTGCTGTTACTAAGAAAGAGTTGGAGGACAATACGGTCTCCTCTGTTGATAATGATAACTCGTCTTGCAATGCTTCAGACTGCAACCCACCACCTGATGAAGACGATGGTATTTTTCTATCTCCTTTGGCTTCTTTGTTTGAAATGCGCTTTTATCTGCTTTGGGGCGAGGGTTTATAAGTTTTCTCGGGCTATAAGGTGACAAAAAAACAACCGTTGGTGGTAGTATTATTTATGGAATTCTCTAATTTGCGATTGTTACTTTTGTTACGTTATTGCTGTGTCTTTGCATGAAAATGTTAATGATTTGTGCTCTGACATGTTTCATTCCTTTTGCAACTCATTAGATAATATTATATGAGAAGCGTATTTATGTTCTAAAAATCAATATACTCATCATGGATGCGGTTAGGGGGGAATTCAACAAGGGACGTTTTAGTGATTGAATTTTGTTATCTTAAAATCTTGGGACTAGGGACACAGGACATGTGAATGGAATTCGGGGCGCTCATAAACTCTTCCTGTTATTCAAGATTAAGGACCCATCATCGAATGGGTCACACCTAGGACATTAACTAGCACAGCATATTATAGCAGCTATGTGTTTTTTGGTCAAATATTTGACCATGGAGAGAAGGTTTGTTACAATTCTTGAAAAGCTTAAAGTATAATGCATAGATCAGATGATTGAATGCCATCTCATCTTGCTGACTTGTATAGGCCCCCCAGATGTTGGACCTAATGGTGGATCATTGATCTTCTGAATATTAAACACCTGCAATGCTCAGGGTAGTTAAGGCAACTAGGTGTTGCCTAGGAATGTGCAATAACAGGATGACTTGTTGCTTGTGCAATAAAGAAGAAAAAGTATATAGAAAACATAGTATGTAGTCATATATACAATTTTGTATATTGTGCTTATGATTAAACTACATGTTGAATAAGCAAATCAATACAGCATCATAACAACAATTTTCTTAGTCAAATTTATAATTATCCACATAAAGGACATTGGTTTGTTCAGCATTGCAAATTGCATATAGCATATTAGCAGAACAGATTCAACAATAGAATAATTTATGCTGTCAAGAAAATGTGGAAAGAATTATTAATAATCTCTCCCTAATCCAACCAGTGTTGTCGTGCACTTCTTTTTTTGTTGTTATAAATATGACGCCTGAAAGTATCACTTATTTCTGTTTACCTAGGCGACAGGGTAATGACTGAGCAGTTGCCTAGGGAATACCAGACAGCAGCCACCCAATGCATCATCTAGGGGTCAGGCCCTTAAAACACCTGGGATATACTTTGACAACACTGAGCTTGCTATAAAGGTCCCATTCTGCAACTACCGGTTTGTTGTTGGTGGAACTAAGACAGTCCCATATGCTAGAGAAAACTATTCACTTTTGGAGATGTAGTTCATTGTTGGAGAATGTGTACTTTGTTTGCCTCCTCAAATAATATAAAGTTGCATTCCATTAGAGTTTCTGGTTCATATGTTCTTATTCTAAGATTCATATCTTGTACTTTTAGTAAATGATTAGACCTTATGCTTTCTTATTAATGTTGAATAATTTAAGGTTTTGATGAATTATTCATGTGAAATCTATACAGATTGGGAAGCTTTAGCAGATCGTGCACCAAATGAGTTATTTCCTCCACAACATAAAGCAGGTACATACCAACTGTAATATGAGGGTACCAAAATTTGAAATTCTAAATGCTGTAGGAAGGAAGCACTATTGTGCTACAGATTGTTAAAATTAAGAAAGAAAAATGATCAGGATTACCCATATCAAGTGGCAAGGTATTTACCTTTTTCTATCGTGCAGATGGTTTTATAGCTTTGCGGTTTGTGGTTTTAATAACTCGTTACATCTTATGCTTTCTCCTCAATGATAACTATTCACATGCCAAATAGTAACATGATAAGATTTCTAATGTTATTATGTATGCCAGTATGTGAAAATGATACGGATTGGGAAGCTGTTGCTGATTGTGCACCAAGCAAGTTATTTTCTCCACAACATGAGGCAGGTGGATCACATATCCCATTTGAAGATGCCAAATCTCAAACTCCTAAACGTCGTGGGAGGGGAACTTTCTTGTACATGAAAAATAGCTTATACAGTGATGAACAACGTGATGTTGCAACAATCTCAGAGGACAATTTTACTTCCCATGGTTCAGAAGGAGATGCAAAACTAAGAGATTGTAAGTCAATCGTGCTTATTCCATCACTTGGTTTGATTTCTTTCTTTCAGTTTAATTTATTTTATGTTGGTTGTTACTCAATTGACTTTCTTGTGTCTTTTGGTGGTACTTCAGTTTTTCTTTCTTCTTATTTTATTTTTTAATAATGATTGTCTTGAATCTTGATTAAAATGCTGCAGTGACAACAAAATGAATCACAGTAACAAATAGCAGGTAATTTCAGATAGGACTTTGAACATATACTCCTGATACCCAAGATCAATCATCAATTTCTTTGGTAACCAAAGAATAAGATTACATACTCAGGTTGTTGAATAAAGATGGCAAGCACCAAAGGCCTTCCATCGTTGCAATCTTAATTGTCCATTTTGATGAACAGATCATGGAATAGACTCACTCCTCCATCACTAATGGAACTGCTTCACAGAAATGAGTTTGCCATTCTCTGCCCTGATTTTTCTTATATGACCTGAAAAGCTTATTCTATTACATCATGTTCCAGTATCCTTTTCTCTTCTTTAGCTATCATATAGAACCTTCATTGAGCCTCATTCATCACATCCATTTCCTCTGCTTTCACTCCTTGAATACCCTCTTTTCTTTGGTTTTCCTGTTGTTTGAATCACTTCCCTACCCACAATTCTCCCTTCATCAGGTTCTTTCCATACTCAATTGGTCATTTGGGAGTAACAATCTCTCTATTGAATTAGAAACTTCTCACGTGATGATACCCATTGAAGTGGAGGGTTGATTCACAAAATTCTGTGAGGGAAAATGTGGGAAAGAAATCTGTTTGTTTTTTCTCAAGGAAAGAGCAGCAATTTGTGGAAAATTGCTGAAGCCATAGCATTTTTGCTAAAAGAGACATTTTGTCTCTATGGTTCTGCTTCTAATCAAAGCATAACACAAATACACTCCCATGCATACTCCCTTGAAAGGAGTGAAACCCACTATATTGTTCCTATAATGCTACTGAGAATTATGAGAAGAAACCAATAAAAATTGTGTGTAGGAGTTTCCATCTTGATCTATGACTTGAATAGTGTAAGTCTATTAAATGAGGATGGTCTGGGAGGCTTGAAGTTGGGATGTAAGAACGTCTAAGGATGAGAAGAGCTTAGGGATAGAAGGTCTGACAATGGGGAAGTTGGGGGCAGAAAATGGCTAAGGACCGAGAATGAATGAAGGGAAGGATCCTTCTTTAGGGCCCTAATTCCCTATTTATAGAATCAAGGAACCAGTGGTAGGAGTCTCATGCACTAGGCTGCCCCTTCTTCACTTTAACAAACACACGGGAGACAAATCCCATTAATTTCTCTCCCATGGACATGTGTCCTGTGGACCACAAGGCTGTAGGCCGCGTTCTTTGAAGCCACATCGAGTGTGACACATGTCCAAATGGTCATCAAGTACGACCAGTCATGGCTTCTTTGAAGCAGTCATGCATCTCACCATGGACACACTCCTAATGCTACAACCTGGTTTGGTTAGGCTATGCAAAACCAACACTAGTGAGATTATGAGGTTTTCCTTGTGTAGGTTTTCTATGGGACAGATCTTACACGCTAGCAAGGTTGCCTCGTCATATTATGCCTACAAGGTTCCCTTTCCTGTGAGGTCCTCTACTCGACCTCGCTCGGTTCGACAACCTCATGCTTTTTGCCAATACGATGCCGTGAGGTTACCTTTGACTAGTTTTTAGGAAATCATTTTCTTATAACATCTAATGTGAGACACTCATGTTATCCTATGATATCGTGTTTATTTCATGTTTATGATCAGTGTCTCACTTCCAAGTCTTTAAATATATATCCACACTCTCACAAGTAGAGGATGACTTCACCATCCAGAGTTAAATCATGAGATTAAAACTAATTGCTCATGAATGCCTCTGCATTAGAATACTTCAACTTGTTTAAATTTGGTAATAGTGGTTGTAGCCAATGCTTTTCATGCGTTTTAAAAATGATAGTGCATTTATGTGCTCTTGAAACACTTTTTTATTGTTCTTTATGCCCAAATAAGCATGTTGGGTGGTATCAAACCATTAGTTTTTGTTGGTAAAGCTTGTCATACTATCTATCAAGGACCTCTGTTCAAATTTGTCTTTTCACATGAAGTAATATATCAAAAACCTGCTTCCCACAACCCCCACCCAGAGTAGAGAAAAACATATACTGATCAAGAGGAGAAGAAAGGCAATGCAAATAATGAAGAATTTCCATCCCTTTACTTCGTTGCTAGAATTTCTACCTTTACCATGTTGCTGGAACATCTATTGTGACATTGAATTAGCATGTCATTTTATCATATATCCTGTGAGGTTCTACTACAGAAGCATCTATATGGGTCAAATAAAATTTATGATCTAAAAGTAGTTATTTTACTGATTTCAGCAAGTTTTGGTACGAGTCATGTTCTTGTTCTGGAAGATTTTCCACCAAGTACTAGGACGGTAGAGTTGGAGAAAATTTTTCTGCACTTTAGGGATCAAGATTTTGTGATTCGCTGGGTTAATGATACTGTTGCCCTTGCAGTATTTCGAACACCATCCATTGGTAAGTCCAGATGTAAATAACTTTCTATGATGGATATCCAGTAAAATAGAAGTTTTATGTGCATAGTGCTGGATTTATTACAATGTGTGGTAGAGTTTACCTCCTTTTAAACAGGTGTCAGTTACATGATTTCCCCTCCCAACTCTTTCAGAAAAAAAATTAAATATGTTGACTTCTTTTCTATTTTTATTCTAATAATTTTAATCTCTTGACAACATTTGACTTATTTCTGTTTTTATCAGTGACTTCTATTTAAAAAGTCGGTATGCACTTGTAAAAGTATAAGAAGCAATGTATGCTTTTAAGTATGAATACTGATGGAAAGAAGCTCCGTGATTTGTAGGTGCAAGTTACTGAACATAGTTTTCAAGGCGCCAAGGCGAACCTAGGTGATAGGGGAGTGCTTAGTCGCCTGGTCACCTAGGCGTTGCTTAATGTCTAAAAGAAAAATAAAATAAAAAGGGGATGAACCCCTATTTTTCCGTTGAAAAAGAAATACAGAAAGGAAGAGCCCCATTCTTTCTTTGAGAAAAAGAAACAAACCCTTATTTTTTGTTCTAGAAGAAGAAGAAGAGAGGAGGAGGAGGAAAGGAGAAGGGGAGGAGCTCCTGTTTTTGTTCCGAAACAAGAAAAAGAAGGGACAGAGCTCCTGTTTTTTGTTCCAGAAGAAGAAGAAGGAGAGGAGAGGAGGAGGAAAGAAGAAGGGGCAGAGCCTCTGTTTTTTGTTCCAAAACTAGAAAAAAGATGAATGGGCAGAGCCCTTGTGTGATCGATTTCCCTTTCTTCTTCAAAGACATATAACTTGTAACTTGACGAGGATATCTCTTGATTCGTCTTCGAATATTTTATCTATCATAAACCTTAAAAAGATAAGAAATTAATAAAAAATTATTATAATATGAAAGAAATAAAAATAATGATTCGGTTCATCATGTCTATATTTATATTATAGACTTAAAATATAAAAAAATATTAAATATGAAAAAATTACATGTTATTTACTATTATACATAAAAAATAAAAATATTATATATAATAAAAATTATTTATTATATATATTTATATGTATGTATGTATGTATAAAATATTATTGTATATAATAAAAATTATTTATTAATAAAAAATATTTATTTATTATACTAGGCTCGATTAGGCTCGCGAGCCTCATGAGCCTCACGAGCTGAGCTTCATTGGGCTCGAGCTCGGCTCGACTAGCAAACATCCCTATATATCAGGCTCGAGCTCAGTTTAAACCGAGCCGAGCTGAGCTTTTCACGAGCGGAGCTCGGATAGCTCGTGAGAAGCTTGGCTTGTGGCCACCCCTAGCTATAACCAAGAATAAAAAATATTTATTTATTATACTAGGCTCGATTAGGCTCGCGAGCCTCATGAGCCTCACGAGCTGAGCTTCATTGGGCTCGAGCTCGGCTCGACTAGCAAACATGCCTATATATCAGGCTCGAGCTCAGTTTAAACCGAGCCGAGCTGAGCTTTTCACGAGCGGAGCTCGGATAGCTCGTGAGAAGCTTGGCTTGTGGCCACCCCTAGCTATAACCAAGATTAAGACACCGCAATCTGCCAGCAATCTCTCTTTCCCCTGTCTTTCTATTCCACATCAGCTATCCAACCACAACTGAAGCAAGCAACATCAAAGCACTAAGTCTAAAGGCCTTCTTTGTGGACACTGTTACTCACCAATAACATACATTACCATCAAGAGGTAAGCTCTCTTAACCCTCCCCTAGGGCAAAAAAAAAAAAAAAAATTACAACAAGGCCCAAAACATTTGTTCCCTTCCCACCCCTTTCTTAGCAAGAGTATCCGACTATCCATAAGGAGTTGGCATTTACCTTTACCCACTGTAGCTGAATTTCCAAACCTTGTGCTAGCTGATTGAACAACCTTTTTTCATTAGCAAACTTCCATAGACCATTCTCTTCTTTTTGCAGCCAACCTATAACCATTTTTGTATCTCCTTTAACAATGAACTTACCACAGTTCAACTCCTTAGCTTCTTTCCTTCCATCACTTCCAAGATCTTAGCCCAAAGTGAGTCACCAACACCAATAGGACCAGAAAATAAAGCAATTATCTTCCCTCTTCATCCCCAAAGGTTCTTCCAATGCTTGATGACCCTGGGTTACCTTCACTGCTACCATCAAAGCTCAATTTGACAAATCTAGAAGTTGACGGAGACCTAAGGGGCAAAACTTAGTTTTTGCAGAGGCTGAATCAGCCACTTCCAATTCCTTAGGTAATATTTGTGGAAATACCTTCAAACTTTTCTAGAGATTGCACCCATTGTACCACTCTAATAGTAATTGCCTCAATAATGGCCTTACTCCTTGTCAGAAAAAATCCTCGAGTTTCTTTCTTCCCAAATTGTATAGCAAATAGCACCTCTAACACATCTACAAAGAGTTCTACCCCTCTTCTTTGGCCACCTTAAGAGAGAAGAGCCAAACAAGCTTTGTACGTCTAGTGGGGGGGTCCACTTGCAATCAAACAAAGAGAACAATCAAATCCAAATATTTGAAACAAAGGGGCAGGAAATTGATAAGCAATATCAGCTTTCACCATTAGCCTTACAAAGGATACATCAGTTGGGAGATGAGCAAAGTTAGGTCTTTTTCTTTGCAGCAAGTCACAAGTGTTACACCTTCCCAAGAAGGCTTTCCAACAAAAAGCCCCAATCCTTGGAGGAATTAGTTTACCCCAAACTCTCTAAGCCCTCTTTTCTTTTCTTTTTGTAATCTTGCATGGAGTATTCAAACTTGCTATAAAAAGCAACCCTCTTTTTCCCTTTCTCTTTCCCTCTCAATGCAAATAAAACAGGGGCTTAGTTCCATCATTTATTTTTCCTTTTGTACCCCATTGCCCATTTTATCCCTATCTCTCTAAGCCAATGCTTTGAAACTCGTAATCATATCGTAAATTGAAAGAGGTTTGAGTCAAATCGTATTCTAAATTGTAAGGGCTTTTTTTTTTGTGAAAACTATCAAAAAACTAAAAAAAACCCTAAACCTCTCACATATAGAAAGAATGACTTTGTACTAATTTTCAACTTATAGACATCATATAAGTAAGTAGTAGACTAGTAGTAACGGTGTAGTGAATCTGAAAATTGCACTAGTTTCATGGTTCCATACTATAATTGGTGTTTATAATTCAATAGATGCCATGTTATGAATATGATGAAGTTAAACTCCAATTTTCAACAACAAAAATCTATACTTTCATAGTTTCATTGTATTTTTATGAGTATGAAGTATGAACTTTACATGGCATCATGTTCATGGCCCCAAGGCTCGACAAAAAAGGCAACTTTGAGGCAACCCAATATCCTATTTAGTTCCCCTATCCCTATACAATATATACAAAAAAAGATGCCCGCTTTGCGCAAGTATATCATATACTCCCAAATCCTCAAAAATTTCCTTTATAAGTTCATAACTAAAAAATAAACCATCGCTATTATCTATCAAATATTCAAAATATATCAATCATCACCCGTCATCATCCCCATCATTATCACTATTCTTATCATCATCAACAAGCTGAATGTTGTCTTCATCTTCTTGCTCTTCATCTGATGAAGAAGCATAGTCTTCTTCTTGCTCTTCATCTTGAGTTGGATTTTTCCTTTCCTTCTCCTTTGTGTAGATCCCTTGGACCTAAGGTAAAATTATTATTATTTGAATAAAACATAAAGTTATAATTTAAATGACAACAAACTAACAAAATGAAACCTACCATGCTGTCTCCATTTATCTACAATTCCTTCAACCTTAGTAAAACACTCCTATATCCATCCAAGTGGTATCATCAGGTGGGGAAGGATCCGCCTTTTCAGTTATCCATTCATCATTTGACTAAATATCTGATAAATAAATTGGGTCAAACCCTTGTTCAGCCTTTCTCTTTTCATGATGGATTTCAAGTTGGTTATTGTATTTGACAAATACTAAAGCATTCAACCTTTTGTTCCAAACGGTTTCTTCTCTTTGAATGTATCTAGCAATATTCAAAATCAACAAAATATTATATAAATTCTTATCTACTCCATAAAATTTAATTCCACCAAATAATAATAAATAAGAATTAGGAATACAAACTTGCAAAAATGTACTCCAATTCCTTTCACAACCCGTAGAACTGCATGTGAAACTCAAAATATGGATTGCCAATTTCTTTAGTTCTGGTGTGCCATCTCTATAATTATCCCACCATGTAGTTGTTTTGCAAAATTCTAATATGTAAGTAATTAACTGTGGCAAACTAAAATTTTAAAATTCATTTAAACTGTAAAGATATTGAAAAGTTAAATAATTGTTGAACTACATAATCATACCCAGTTGCTTTTTCTTCCGAGTAAGTTTTGTTTTCTCTCTACCAAATTAGCCCTCTGCTCTCTTGATTTTGTCAATTTGGTTTCAATAATAATCCGCTCCAATCAAATTTGTCAATTTGATTTCAATATGATTTCAATCATAAAGTCCTTGCTTTATTTCTAAATCCGCATTAAATTTTTCATCATATTGAAAAACTGAATTTAGAAAATAAGTCCTACATGTAATGGTCCATGGAGTTGTAAATCCTAACGCTTGTCAATGATATCCCACAATGGCTTATATCTTTTCTTCACATTTCCCAAGTTCTTGGAAATTGTTTCTTTTCTCAATCCATTGCCTCATAAATATAACTCATAGTAGGCATCTCATCCATATCAACCAATCTAAGAATCTTAACCAAGGGAAGGGTGCTTTTTAGGCAATATTTGATTAACGCCCAAAAATTATTATCAAGCAATACAACATCATGTGTTCTAATGCCTTTGTCTATCCTTGTGAATGGACTTCCGATTCATCTCATTTGAACATTTTCTTCAATGCATCTTTCTGTTGATGGACACTTTTTAGTGTAAGAAAACATGTTGCAAATCGTGTCACAACTAATCTTGTCAATTCTTTATTTGGTGGCACGTCAATTTGAGAACCCAA